GATTCGAATTCCGCGCTGCTCCCGCCGCTAGTACGCTGCGCGGCCGGAGAGGGCAGTGCGGACCAGGTGCAAGCCATCGATGGAGTCCAGTGTACACTGTTTCTACACTTTCTACCCTCGATCCCGAGCGAGTGCAAGAAGTGTAACCCGCAAATTTGGCGGCAAATTTCAAAATGGAAAAGACCAACAAACAGGAAAATACAACATTTATGCTAACATCTCAACGTAATATAAACAGAAGTAATTATTAATGCATCTTCTTCCTGTATAGAACGATTTACAGTTTTAGTTTTGTACGTAATGTTTGAAACAATTTACAAAAATTATGTATTACTACCTAATCGCTGTTGAAATGAACTAAACTATAATTTTTCACTGTCGTAGTTAAATTGCATTTCATTCTACTGCAATAATATTCTGACCCTTATTCACCCTCAATACCTGAAATTCGTGAAAGGAATTTTCATCTTCTACAATTATAAGGTAATACAACGAATTGTAGGATTTGAAGAAAACGAAGACAGCTCAAGAAGGAAGGCTGGAAGAAGCATTACATTTTCGTATTCATCATCGTCCGATACGGATAACCTGAAAATCGCGTACCTCTCTACTAAATCGGTCATCTTGGACTTTCGTGAGGTTTCTGGCGTTCGGGACGTCGATGAAAGTGTATCTACCCTTCTGCACCTTTCAAGAAAAGTGTAGTACCCTCGTTACACTCGAGTGTAGAAAGTGCAGACAACGGGAACAAACCTAGGGATTCTCACCACCGATATGAACTAACTAGATCAGGCATGGCCAACATACGGCCCGCGGACCGTATGTTGGTCATGCTTGAACTAGATGATGTTTTTAAATTCTCGAGAATTTAAGTTCGAATAATATAGCCGAATATACTAATTAAAATCCTTATGGTAATTTAAAAATCTCGAAAAAATTTTAAAGAATTTAAGAGAACTCTGAGAATTTGTATTTAAATTAATTTCTAAAAATAATTTATTATTTTTATTTCGTAATATTGATAAAGCCAAGATACTTATTAGCCGAAAATAGTGTTCCTTTCATTTGTGATTCCTTTCTTCCTTGCCATGATTTTCTATTTCTATAATTTGCGTTGCCACTCTTATTAATCTCAAGATACACAAAAGGTTAGGAAGTTAGGTTAGTCGATTAACTGTAGTTTATGCAATTATTGGAAGTTCAGAAATTCTGGTATTGAAAGTTTAAAAAGCTAAAATCTTCAGAAGTACAATTCAAATTTTCGTGCACTATTATAAACACTTATAGTATATTCAAATTATAGAAAATAACTTAAATATTATTAAAAAAATTCAATTCTTTTAAATTCTCATAAAATCGCAGAGAATTTAATTATCGATTATATTCTTGATTATATTCTCGTTTTCGGATATATTACTAGGTAATATAACGCATTAAAAACTATACATATAAGAACCCGAAGTTAAACGACGTCGGATACGGGAACCTGCTTGGATGGGTGACCGTTAGAAGATTAAATACAAAAAGACTCAAAGTCAATCGTTACTTACGCATCGTTTTAATCACATGAAAAATAAATTTTAGCCAACGTAACACGGAGTAAGTATTTAACATTAAGAATAACTAATAGGAAGCTCTAAAATAAGGGGGTGTTTCGACTACGGGATAAATTGAATCCTCCTTTTCGACGTTTCAAATAACTGCACAAATTGCTCGTTTAAAATTTATTACATTACACGTATCACATTTGACATCTTAGAGATTCGTCGAGTTGCGTTATCTTTTCGCGTACTGGTTCTCGAGTCTAAATCAAACAGGAGTCACTAGTGCTCAACTAAATTTTAAGTCAACTTTCGTAAATATTCATGACATCCGAAGCAGAGCGACCAGCTCGTGGCCTTGCGGCTGCTCGTGGGTAAACAATCCGCGCGCCAGCTGGGAAAGGGTGAGCTCACCGATCTCGGCCGACTCTGCCCGATAGCTGCCGAACGCTTCGACCACTTTTGGCGGGAACTTTAAGCTACGCGATAGTGCACTGCAAGCATTCGCGCTTAATCGAAAACCAACTATCCGGCGAGGTACGCGGGAGAAAATCGATTAGTTGGTATTATAGAGGGTATCGCACAGTGGCAGGAGATACGATCGACGAGCGAAGGGAGCGACCGGGAGCGGTGTGCCATCGAAAAACGGCGGTTGCGTGGACGACACTGCTCGCGAACAGCTGGCGGGACGGAAGCAAGGTGCGCGCGCTCGCTAGCCAAAGTCAGGCAACAACCAGCATCGGTGAAGCATCGGTGGGCATCGGAGGGCATCGTCACGAAGGCATCGCGTGGGTCGGTATAGACGCAGTCGGTCGACACGGCCGAGCTTCGGCGGGACTCGTGTGGACCCGTTTGGACCCGTTGGTATCCCGCTGCGACGCAACGGAGACGAGAGGCGAGACGACGCGGGAGTCCAATGCCAGGCTGAACGGCGGTACTCCGCTCCGGTCCGATCCGCGGGTGCGGAACGTCCATCGTTAGCGCACGATCGATAGAGGCTCGAACCCGGAATTACCGGACGCGTTCGTTAATAACCGCGGATGGTAGCCGGCTTCGGGATCGACGAGTAGAGTAGAAGCACGCGGGGTCGCGTGCACGTGCCGAGTTCCACGAGTGTCCGTGCGCGATGATCTCTCGCGGAGGATCGTTAGTGGTTGATTAGCGCCATGTCCCGCGATGGACCAATCAGCTGCTTGGTGAACCGCCGTGAGGCCTCGAATCTGTCCACGGACGAATGACAACAAAAGAGATTGATAGAATCCAGCGAGCCCGATTCTGCGGGAATTTATACTTTTTTCATTGTGTTGCCGCCAATAATAGCGTCGTCGAGTAGCAGCGAAAGTCTCGGGGAATATGAAGAGAAGAAATGCCGAGTGCGGCAAGCTTCGGAGGCCCTTGAAACGCAACAAGATCACCGAAGGAATCTACGGAAGGTAAACTTTCGGTCGCCATATGCGTGCATCGTAATGGTCGATTTTAAAAATAACCAAAAACCCGGTGCAACCGACCGTCGGAGCCGGATCACGGGGACGGTCCTCGACGACGATGTCGCGATACCCAACATAGCCTAACGATGCGACTTGATCCGCTGTACGTGCGCTTTCGATCTTTCATTTTGGAGGGTTTAACCTATGATTTTATTCTTAACGTTTCTATGAAATCATTAGCAGACGTTGCTTGCTATTTGCAGGCAGTTTTATCAAGATCGTCAATGAGAAGTCCATTTCTCGTTGAGCGTTAGGTCTGCGATGTACACATCATTTGCATTAATACCAGTTTTGACATAGAGAATCCTTAATGTTGCTTCTACTTTGGTTTCGATCGCTACAGAACCTATTGACGTAAATATTAATGGTTGCATCGTTATAGTTTTAATTAAGTAATACTCGCGTTGGTGTAGCTTGCATCGTTTGATAAACCATGGTTATCGAAAGAGTTTTAGGTTCATCCGTAACCAATGTTCTTGACACAACAAATCGTTTAGTTATAAGATAGATGCAGCGTACCATGCTTTATTTAAACATATTGTAAATGGAGAGTGCGATATGAAAATTAAGATTTTTTTTTAACAAAAGTATAGATTTTTGTGTCAAATAATAGTTTCTTAATGTTCATATGTTTATTTGTTTCAGCACTCTGCTTTATCTGAAGTTTCTGCTATTATGGGCCATGGTGATTTTAGCAGACTTCATTTTAGAATTCCGCTTTGAGTTTTTATGGCCATTTTGGCTCCTTCTTCGAAGTGTGTATGATTCTTTTAAATATCAAGGCTTGGTAAGTTACTAGTAACTGACAATTATCGGTGAAAATGTTTCGTTTAAATTAACGTTTATTTTCTTTTTCAGGCCTTCTCTGTATTTTTTATTTGCATTGCTCTCACTTCAGACATGATTTGTTTCTTTTTCATCCCTATACATTGGCTATTTTTTGCTGCCAGCACGTACGTTTGGGTACAGTACGTTTGGCACACAGGTATGTACCTTCTTGGTTATTGTATAGCGTTTAGTCTAAAATAGCACAGAATCTTTAACCTGTTAACTGTTCATGACGAATTAAGTTGTCATTAAAGATTGCATTTGTAACCCGAAGCCCTGGTCAACAGGTTAAATAATACGGTATAAGAAAAAGAATTTTTATTCATTCTGAGGTTATTGTATTTTTATTTTAGATAAAGGTGTGTGCCTACCAACTGTGATGCTATGGCTGCTATTTCTCTACATAGAAGCTGCAATTCGGCTGAGAGATTTACGCCATATGCCATTTCACCTGGATCTTTGTAGGCCATTTGCAGCGCATTGGTATTCATTTGATTAATTACCCTTATATTTTGATAGCTTTTTAGTTGAAGTTGTTACTTATAGTTTTGACATGGTTTCAGCATTGGATATCCAGTAGTCACGTTAGGCTTTGGTTTCAAGAGCTATGTAGGCTACAGAATGAGACAGGTGAGTCTGTATGACTAGTTTAGATGCATGTTACGATTACATGAACCTTCTGTTCATATTCAAATTATTAGTAAATGAATTTAACATAAGCATTAAATAATACATTATGCGATATTTTTTTTTTTTTTTAATATTGAATTCGAATTGATATTGTAATACTTGTTATTTCTACTGACAGCGAAAACAAAAAGATGTGGCAAAGGAAAATGAGTTCTACTTGCAGTTATTGCAACAAGCGCTGCCTGTTGAACAGCAAGCTGCAACCACGCAGCAGCTTCAACCCCAAGCACAACTTGTCAGTGCTTCTTTGGAACAACACACAAAATCACAGCCTCAGAGGCCAAGTCCACAGTATAATGCAAGTCCAGAAAAAAGCAGAGGTAGTTTGTATTCATTTACGACTATTTGGAAATATTTACACCACTCGATACAGAAATACATAGTAGGTATATATTTCTACAAAACAATTGTGCAAAATGTGTCAACAGGAGGTAATGGAAGTATATCTGTGGATACAATTATACAAAATGGTAGTGTTCACAATAATCAAAGTGTATCACAAGCACAAAGTGCTATTACTAAGAACAGTCACAGAAAATCCTTAGATAAGGGTGAGAAGCAGGAGGATCAACACAACTTTAAACACAATACAGGAAATACGTCACAGTTGGAAAAAAGTGACAAGAGGTTTTCGCACACAAATGGAACCACAGTATCGTCTAATGAACTACAATTTATTGAGAGGATTGGGTAAGTTACCAAATTAAGTCAATTAAATTAGTATTTTAATATGCTATATACAGTGCTTTGTTATTTTAACTTGTTTTTAGGACTAGTACATTAATAGTCATGCTACCAAAATCTAAAAACGAGATATCTTGTGACCTGATTTCAGTGATTTGTTTGCAAATTACAAGATATCTCAAAGCTTGCATGTAATTTGTTAATCTTATAACAATCTAAAAGAGCAGATTTGGTGAGATGGAACAACTTTACAGATGTACAACAATCGAACGGCAATACGTGTGGCAAAATAATATATTAATTTTCAAATTTTCTTTTAAATTACAGTTCTGTGAATGACTTTGATGTAAATGAGGTAGAGAAAGACAAATCCGTAAAAGGTGGATGTTCTGGACATAATTCAGTAAAAGCACAATCCAATGGTGCAACCACTGGTAAATGGAATAATGTCAAAGAAACCTCAAATACAGTAAACAATCAACGAGAACGGAAAGGTCGACAGACCAAAATTGTTATTGACACATTAGCTGAACAACAAAAGCAACAGGATGAATACTGTCAAAGGTATGCAGAACGATGACCAATATATTTGTACTTTCCATTCAAAATACATTCTGTATAATGAAAAACCTAACAATAGAAGTAATAATTCTTATACAATTCTTATTCCTTTGCCTTATAAATTATTCGACATATTTTGTTCGAAGATTGAGATGGATATAAAATATTTACTAAAGCGCTGTTTTCGTGCGAATTTGTGTGTCACGAAACAAAGGTAACGCTTTATCGGCGGGTTCCGGTTCGTATTTTGAAAATCGCCAATGCATGTCCCCCCTAAATCGGGGTCAAGGATGTCAAAAGATTCATCGGATCAAAAAAATTCCGATCGAGATTCGGCGATTGGTTGATCAAACTCGGCGCAATCGAGCCACCGCGAAGAGCTGTGCTGTCGAAGCCGGGCGCGTCGGCGCTCGGGGTATATCTAGTAAAATATTATAAGGCAAAGGGTAATGTATAGGGAATATAATTCTTTTTAATTTAAATTTAATATCTTATTAAAATTGAGTAGGTACTTGGTTCAATTGGATTAGAGACAAATGCTTATACGCGTCTGATTTTATGATAAATGAATCTATCAAATGATACATTTAGTATTCGAGACTTCGCAGTTTTTTTAATCACACATAGTTGATCCGTGTAATTAGAACTATTCGATTGTGAAAGCATTGTTATCGATTAGGGCTATTTCTAAATTAACTATCGTTGAAATAGGTTACTGATGTGTCGCAGGCTCGAGGCAGATGTTAAACGCTTGAAATCAGACTTACAATCAAGCCGGCAAGTGGAGCAAGAGTTACGTTCGCAGATTAATACTTTGTTAAATGGCGAACGCCAAGTAAAAGGTGACATTCAGCAACTTCAACATGATAACGACCAATTACAAAGCAAGTGAGTATTTGTCGGGATTTGCCCGGATACAAATTAAAATAATTGTTAATTTTGCCTTGAATTGCGACAGTAAGTCTATAGTTTATATTGTTTTAAGTTAGCGTGTTATACGGTTATCTATATTTGTTGTTTTTCGTTTTCATTTCAGATTGCATGGTTTAGTAACAGCTCGTCAATTAGACAAGCAAACTATGTCATCTTTAGAAAGACGAATCGCGGAAGAAAGGAGGCAGCGGACTGCCTGTGAAGCTTCATTAGCCTCTGAGAGGCGAGCACGTCGTGCTGCGGAGGAAGCCAGATCCGCGGTTCCACCGCCGCCTCCACTTGTCAGGCAAGAATGCACGGATGCGTGCAAATCTCGTAGAGCACAGTTGGAACAGGATCTTAAAGCCCTACGTCGGGAAATTAAATTAAAAGAAGATAGGTAATACTTTCATACCGTTGAGCTTTAAAATTTCTTTACATTTGATTATAAGAAGCGTAGAAATACGAGATAAATTCTAATATAACCAATGTTAGAGAAGAAAGTTAATAGGAAGTAATAAATGCAGGTCGATTTTGATTATACTTCAATGGAACAATGTACTGATATAAGACGTCATAACATAACGTATTTTGATGTCGAATAATGCAACATACGTACCATGTACGCTAGCATTTGCAGTTAGATCCCAGAAATTGTAGCAGTAGAGCTGCATTAAAAGTGTCATTGAATCGCTTAGTAGTCTCAAAAATAATTTATGATTAATTTAACTCCTTATTTATCTTTCTTGCTAACGTATAAATTAATTTTAGATGTATCATTCTGGAGAAAGATGCATCTCACTGTAAGGAGAGCCATGGGGAGACTGAAATCTTGCTTGAAGCACTTAATGTGTTGCAAGATAAAAATGCTCACTTGGAAAATAGTCTTAGTGCAGAGACCCGAATCAAGCTCGACCTTTTCTCAGCATTCGGAGAAGCTAAGCGTCAGCTTGGCATTAGAGAAAGTACGTTAACTTATTACATCATTTAAATTTGGAAAGCTATCGAAGATAAAGGAGGTGTTTGTGTTTTACTGACATCACAAGTCTTTCTCTTTTTCGGCAGATTTAATTAAATCGCAAGAAAAAGAAATCGAGATATTAAAAGCAAAAATCGCGCAAGATTTAGCTGTGATGCCTCAAGAGACGTTTAGTCCAGCTCCGACATGTTCCACGTCGAAACTTCGTCTCAATAATGAAATACGCGTTGGAAGAACCAAAATGCGTGCAAACGAGAACTCATGTCCAGGATGCACTACTTCGAATCTGGATCCTAATGCGACAGCGTACACGCCTAAAGGCTCCCTGGTAGCGTCTACGGAAGCGTAAGAGCCATCACTCTCGCCATGTCCAAACTCATCTCCGAAGGGTGTAGACTACGAAAACGTGTTTCATGGTTATTTTTCATGGAAAGATTAGCACAAGAAATAATTCAGCGTTTTAACGATCTTTCTAAAAATGTGAAGATATTACACAAATGCCGATCGGACATTCATTGATGTGAGTATGGCAATACTAATATAGGGCAGTGTTGTAGAAGCACTGCGATTCCTGCATGATCGTTAAGTGCTGATCGTCACGGTCTATACCGACAAATCCTCGATTGGCTTCCATGAGAAACTGCATGAAGCATGCTTCGAATCGTGTCTATTGCTCGATCAAAACAGAATATTCTTAACTTGATTCGTGGGCATATTAGACACAGGATATTAGGTAAAGATGTGTAAATCAGCGATATCTTGAGTGGTAATGCTTACATGCTGTGGGTAAAATTGGTCTAAAACAAAGTCAAAGGGTCCCGTACTTGTTAAAGCTTGGTAAATGTACACTTCGTAGAACAACTGACATTCTATACGTTTTGCGCAGGAGAATAACTTAACGATTTTCCAACCAATTTTCTTTAAGTATATAACTCAACTATTTTTTTTTAATTTTTCTTATATTTACACATATTCAAATTGAGTAAACGTGTTTGCAGACGTTTCACCATATGTTTGTTTAAAATCCTTTATACGTTGAAAGGTAAGCCTATCAGCTTTGAGGTACAGTAGACTCTTCATTAACCGGGTTCTTAATATCTGGTTTGCGGATTAGCCGTACACCTTGCCGATTGAAATATCCGGACTGTCGGCGATTTTTATTTGGGTTATGGCAGATAAGTTCGAATAAATATAAACGCATTGCGATTGCTTTTGCATTGTACGTGATTTTCAATTGTCCGGGCATTGGTCCGGCAACCATTTCCAGTCATTACCTCGGATGATCGAGAGTCCACTGTAAATCACATTGTAAACGATATTTTTGGAGTTAACTAACGTGTGAATTAAATGTAAGATTGTTCAAATTTTTTTTAAACAAAGTCAAGACCGGGACTCGGTGACAGTGCTTGAATGGCCCATAGCATAACGTCTAAACCTATGAAGGCTTGTTAGGAACGTTGATTCTTATTCGAGTCTCAATCCAAAGCTAGTCCATCATACAAACTTGTATTTAATATCATCAGCAAATTAAGCCATTTCAAGTCATGCTATTGTCATACGAGAACAGCCGTTTGTATGAGAAGTCAGCAATCCATTGCTAATCACTTGAGAAGAGAACGAAGTAAATATTGGGACACCGAATTTATTTTGTACGATATAACTCTTGCTGGCTATATTTTTTTTTACATTTGTAAGCATATTGCTCAATTGGCCATTCTATTGTTTCGATATTCGTTAATTGAGTTCATCAGTTATCATTTGCAAAACTGCCAATTTTTGCAGTACACTGTTTCATTATTTGGGAATTATTTCAAATGAACACTCAAAATAACAAATGTAACATATGCTTCGCTATCTCTTTTATATCCAAACCGGAAGCTTAAGGTAACATACATGAAGTATGCACTTAAACATTGTAGCGAAGTTCACATGGTTTGATTCGTTTTCATGTCAGTTATGATAAGAAGTACATTTATAAATTCCTTTACTATTAACTGTAGACATTTGCCAACCTAATGTTTTAAGAAAAGGGTAATGAAAAATACTGAAGGCATTGAACCCGTTAAATCTCATTGACCTTATCTCAAAATTAATCATTTCTGCAAGGAACTTGAATAGCTCTCGACTAAAGGTGTCGATACATTATAGTTCAGAAAGAATTATTCATACCATATAAGAGTTTATCATTTATATAAGTGCGTTATTCCTATTCGAATTTAAGAAAACTCTGAAATTTCTTTTAATTCGAGATTGTTTGAATCCTTTGTGAGTCTGACATACGTTATAAAATGTAATACGAGGTAGATTTGAAATTGCCTGGTTTTCGTTGGAATTTGATAGAATATATTAAACGTTATAACTATGTTTCACGATCGAATAACGTATTGTTTCAAAAAATAAGTTACATAAGAGGATAAATTATCGGCAAAAATGTCTGCATTAAGCGTCACCGCCGTTCATGAACGCGCCTTTTCATTCTTGTAAATATTACACACTGTCATGACATTTCACTCCGTTGTAAACAATTTTTTCAGATATTATGGCTAACTAGTCAACCGAACAATGTTTGTGAGCACAAATATGTCTATTTTCTTAATATTTCATATGCCCAGAATTATAACGATACAGATTTGGCTGACCGATGTAGTCCAATTGAATGTCGCTATACAACGTCATACACGAATATAAAGCTTTTCACTTAGTACATATATGTAATCACTTATACAAAGACCAGTTTTTCTTCATCATCGGTTAGAATAAAAATAATGTAGTAGACTTCAAATTTTTTAACGAAACTGTTTATTTGCGGGTTAGTAGAAAAATAATTTGGATTGGTGATGACAAAATAACTTCAGTTGAGCTCAGAATATATCGATGCGTAGACAACCTAAATGTTACTAAGTACTTATTTGACATTAACTGTGTTCGGAACGCTCAGTGATTACTTTTGTTTTCACTATAAGTAACTTTTCGCAATTATATATAAATATTTATATAATATTTTTATTGTCCGATTGCGGAACCAAGTCATTCATATTACTCACTTTTCTAAGACAAAATGTTATTTTATGTACAATAGTCCTTTTCTAGGAATATTTTTGTTTTGAATGATAATATTTAAGGTGTTGTGAAAGGATCTATATATATCGAAACGTCCAAATATCTATAAAACTTTTCTCCAAACTGCGTGCACTGAATCGTTTGAAACTTCAGCGCGTGATTATGAAATTTCATTAAAAAAAAAAAGTGTCCTTGGTTATAATCTGGGATAAACAAAAAAATTTTTTTTATGAAATTTCGTGAGGAAAAATTTCTTTCTTCCTTAGGGCCGGTCATAATCATGTCCTGAAGTTTCAAATTACTAAGTGTACCCAGTTTGAAGAAAAGGTTTGTAAATATTTTAACGTTTTGATATGTATAGAATGATTCTGTCATAATACCTTAAGAAAGTAGAGTAGTATCATTCAAAATGACGTCATAGTTAATATTTTTTTGCGGAATTGGGAATAATACAAATCTCATGATACAATAACATTTTTGGATCTTCCGAGGAAGATCAATACTAGAACTTTAACAAATCTAATCGGCAAATTAAACATTTTGGAAATTGTTAGATTTTCAATGAATAGTTTTGTTTACATGCATATTAGTGTTTACACGTAGCTTATTGCATTATCACTGTATGAAATCAGTTTTAACGCGTTCCTTACGAGATTTACTAATTCATCATTTAACAAATCCTTTATTAATAATTTTTTTTCATGTATATTTTATTTGTTGTAATACATTACGTTCGTGCAATACATTTTCTAAATCGGGCGTTTTTTTCCAATTTGGTTTTATTTAAAAAATGATTTACTTGGTTTTTCCATCGAGCAATGAGTTTGTTATCACGTATAATGTACTTAATACAATTTTGTAATGTGATAATTGAGGTCTGAATTGAAAACATAAACTCGAGAAAAATTCGTTTCTGGAACCTTTGAAACTAGCCACATATGTTTCAGAAGCGACGTATTTTATGTAAATGAGCGACTTTTTGAAACTTTCCTTAATCCCAGTTTGTGCTCACAACCGCACGTCGGTATATTTGTTATTGCCGACGACATCATTTGGAAATTCGTATTCTTCGTTAAAGAACGATTCATCGACGAACTGGTTGTATGAAGCATTTTTTTCATGTCGAAAGTGACACTTAAGAATGTATCTGAAAAGTCAGTCTTAACGAGTTTTATTTCTGGCAGGTAAAGAACGTAATACGATTACATTTTCTTAAATTGAACCGTGCCCATGAATATATGTACGAGCGGGTGATGCGACTGAACGTTGCATCGCTAAGAATGATTGCGGGTGAAAATCAGCAGGATGCAAATCGCACCAGAGCGGGTCATTAACGCGGCACAGCCATACTCTGACTACCCAAGGTTGTTAATCTAGTTAATCGCGACTAAGAAATTATTTCCTAATATTGCTTGACCCGCACGGAAATCCATGCGCGAGTAATACACGCCACCGAAAGAGGATCGTGACTCGCGTTTGGATCTCCCCGTGACGTCATTATCCGTAATATTTATTTTGGACTTAATTCAAACATAAGGCTGGTTTACGAGGATCGATTACTCCTATTATTTAAATGAATATCGTTAATATTCAGTTAATGTGATATAACTTGCACATATCTGCATCCCGCTAGCGAATTGGCGAATTTGCAATTAGCGCACGAGATGTACGTACGTGTACCTGCGCGCGATCTACAGTTAATACCCTAATTATCGTTAAATATCCCTACGTTGTCGTTAATGTAAATTAACCGCAGCGGGAACGTTAGGATCGGTCCGAAACTCACGTACGAGAACGATCGGCCAATCGGAGCAGGAGAGATCGGACTGTGCTCGGCACGGTGTTCCAGTACCTGCCGGTACTCTTTTATTTCAGCCTATACACTTTACCTTTGGGTATCGAGGCACTCGTGTACAGGCGCAATTGCGCAGCGACGTACTTAACCTTCCCACCGGCGGAGATACATGGTTTAGCACAAATTCGGGTGGCTTTGTGCTGCCCAATCAACCTTCCGCATATTCTAAATACTTCGATGCCGACTGCTAGCTGCACACGGGCTCATCTTGCAGATATCTAGAATATAAATTGCGTTCTACTTTTAGTTCGTTAGAGGGTGACAATAAGCGGGCAAGTCAGGAAGATATCCGATTAAGGGGGCGAGGGACGTTGCCGGCGCTACTTCTTTCTTATTTGTCATTTTACCGACTAACGTTTGTGCGCTTCCAATGTTATTCCAATTAACTATGTACTTACTTATCGTACGATTCGATTAGAATTAAGTTGAAAGGTGGCGAATTCCGGGCGACGCCCAATTCGTCGGTACCAGCGCTACCGATCGACGTCGCGGCATCGATCTCGCGGGTAATGGCTGTGCTTGCGATATGACCTCGCGCCTAGAATCACGACTTACCTTAACGAGAATTGAATCGCGGTCCATGGCTTTTGCGTGGACGCGGTGGATCCGAAATTCGAGTATCGACGATCGAGAGATGCGACCTCTTCGAAGGCTCTTTGCGTAACGATAACTGACTGTCCCATTTTATCGTTCTTTCTTGTTTTTCTCACCGGGGCGATTCGGTTACCTTTCGTGATCATTTCTTTTTGTACGCAATGCATGCGGTCAGGCCTCTCGTAACGCGCGGATCTCCCGTGAGACTCGGGCTTTGCACCCCTTGTTGTACAATACCGTGGCACGGAACCCAGTCAAGGGCACCTGCGTATCGATGGGTTTTTTTTATCTTAAGCCGTCAAATTATTTGCACGCTTAACTCTACGAGACGTGAATACCTTTAAAGCGCTTCCGTGCGTAATGGGACCACAGCGTTATTCGGTGTACGCGAGAGGCCTGCTCGTAAGAGAGGACATTTACGTGCCAATTTACGCAAATGTGTAGGTACGTGGAAAGGTCCCCTCGGGTCGTGGGGTCATCGGTTACAAACTGCTTACGAAGTCCCCTTCTTGTGGCTTTCTGTCTCGAGGATGCATCGGGTCGCGATGCATCGGTTGTGTATTTCTTAGGCTTAGAATGTTATACCGTTTTATTTCGAGGTGAAACGCGAAAGTACAAAGTACCTAAATCAAACGATACACATCACGGGATTAGAGCTTATTGCGACGTTCTTTTTCGCGGTGCATTGGCCGCCTCGTCTTGCATAGTAATGGGAAAACGCGCGATTCGGCATCGATTCCCTTACTCCGTGTTACGGTGAAAATTCGATTGTACATATGTATGGAAACGATCGCGAGTCTTTCTAAGTACTTTATTATTTATGGAGGTCGCTATTCGGGCGCTCGTAAGGTTAAACAACTAATTTAACTTCATGAATTTTTGCACCGTGCGCGGAAAGTGGCGTTTCACAGTCGACGGCCCGGAGAACGTTCTTCGAGTTAGATTAATGGACCCACAGTTTGTTACCGGTGATGCGTGAAAGAGGCAAGGGCGCACAATTGACTCTTGGTTTATTATATCAGCTCTGCATGCGATGTAACATCTACACGACATAATTATTTATTAAAATAAAGACTCCGAAAAGTTGCAGGGTGTAGTCAATGATAACACTTAATTACAGTCCAAGAATAGGATTTACGTTCGAACGACCTATGAAATGGTATTCGATATTAACGGTCTTTAGTTGACAATTTTTAAGTGACGTTCAAAGTATGAGTAGACAAATCATTCAACTATTACTACATTAAGCTTCGTATGCTTTGAGTGCCGAAGCCAAGAAATTCTTCGTAATACGTTTACGTTCTGGAAATCTGTTGATTACATGACTCATTAATTAAATTAACGTTGAAATCTGACGATTCATATATTATTTTGCGATTAATTAGCTGCTAGGCTTTATTGTTAACCCTTATCTAACATCATCACATTGAGAACCATAAGGATTACACGTGTCGCGGAGTCCATTGACCTCACGTCAGTTAAGGGATAAGATCGAAATGACAGACTAGCCACAAAGTTTAACAGCAATACGTGGAAAACAGAAACGAATATATGACAATTGTTACATCTTTACATCTGTCAGAACTCTCGACTCGAGAGGTGGAGTCTTAATTTTTAGTCTATATCGGTCAAATTGTCTTACCTTTACCGTCAGAATGTGTTACGATTGAAGCAAAATAAAAAGTCACTTTAACGTTATAAATGAGGTCTTTCTTAAATCTGGCACGCAGTGCAATTATGTTCCTAAGTAAGATAGACAAAATCTTTTGTTTCGTTCATAAATCTGATTTCTTTCGCGTGCTGCCTCATCCTTTCTCATTTTGTACGAATCGTTAATGCATAAAGTAATGCGAGTTCTACTGTGAAAAAAACAAAAACCTGCGCGAGAGTATATTCATTATCGATTATTTGCTGAGATCTCCATAGTTTTATTACAAGAAACATTTGAAACGTTTTGATGCGTAGCCGATGATTATCGGATAGTTACCGTTTGGCTTATAGGTGCGCTAAAAAGTTCCCTTGCACATATCAGTAGTATCACGTCTAAAGGAACATGGAATTAAGATGCGCATTGTAGAATAGAATATTGATAACAAGGAGGGGAAATTCTAAGTTCGATGAGACAGAGAGAGAGGGAAGGGGTCTAAGGAATAAAGGAGAAGCGAAGCAAATGATATTTAGTATCCTTTTATTTGTATGTATCTAAGCGAAGGGATATAATTGTAAGCTAACCTGTTGTACCGGTGTATTCACAATATTGTATAGGAAGAAGGGAATGTAACAGAAAAGCAATACGACGTGAAATTGACTTGGTTATCAAAGGTGTAACACGATGGAAACAGTTAAAACGGAATGACTATTTTCCAACATGTGTTAAACTGCAATTGGATCGAATGCTTCGATAACGGCAACTACTACACCGACATGTGGATCTATGGTTTAATTCAAAATCATAAATATACCTGAAAGAGACAATTCAAATCCCAACTTGAACACTACTCGATTGTATAACAGGATTTTAGATAAATGAAATGTGCGTGCGTGGCGTAAGCATAATTATTTTTTTGATGTTTTGGAGATATTCTGCTCTCTATGTGTGTCAAGTCATTAAAAATGAATAAAAAATGATTAAAAAGAGGGAAATAGGACACTGGCAGTGATCCCTAAAAATTAAACATGTATGATACATTTATTTACCACATCCCAATAATTAGTAGGTAGTTTAGAAATATTTGTAAGTTTACAAATTAAACTTGCAACTTTAAATCTGATAATACGTAACGTAATTTTATTTTACAAGCTAATATCTATGTAGGATGAATTACCTTTAATTCCGTTCTACTAGAACCTTAGGATTCTTTCTAAAAGCTAATAAGTACGGTACGTGTTTAGTTTATTTTTTTCATGTACTTACAAGTGAAGCACGCAAGGATCGGATCATGAATTTGTATGATTTTTTTTTCATGTAGGGCTCAGCTTTGTCGACAAGACCTTAGATTTTTTTTATTCAACGCATCTTGGTTTATGAGATGTTATTTTAGAAAATTTGAAATGATTAATATTCTATCAATTCGAAACCCGATGTCATCGATCATGTAGGGTGGTCCAGTTGGCAGGGCAGGTTTGCTGCAAAGTTGGATTCGATTCCAGATAGGTTGATTTCTTCAATAAATTACATTTTTTTAATTTTATCTCCATTAGCTACTAATCAATATACTATTTCTTACATTATTTGCGCCACAATTTTATTTTTCTTAATTTTAGGAAATTTCAAAAAGAATGCACACGTATTTTTTTTTCACTTGCTTATTATTACAAGATACCAGTACATAGAGATTACTTACAGAGATCAATATTTACCACTTTTATTTATTAAGAATTATCGATTACTGAAACGTGGTTTTAATTTCAGAAAACAGTGCTCCGTTTATCCGAATCACGGCAGTATTCCGGATGATAATTATCGAAAAAATATTTAAACTATACGCATATATTGCGCTCCGTATGTGCACCTCTGTGCGCTCACTGCCCACGTTTGTGTGATAGGATCAGCAGGTAACAGTTTTCGTTCAAGTTTGAGAAAATATTACTTTATTTGCTGAAAGTATGTATATGAAATCATGAGCAACAAAGTAGGAGTGCTAAATTGATGATGTACGATACAGCGAATTTGAATTGCATCTACCAGAGATGCTATTTCCCCATTTTCTGTTCTTTAAGCAATATCGGTGCACTCTGCAGTCTTTTAGATTGGAGATTGGTCGTAGTCATCGAGATTTTCCAATGCTTGACTCCCATATCTGGTATAAAGTTCAAATTCTTAATTAACCCCTTAACTTGTGCGCTCGAGTTAATTCGAGCGCGCTAAACAGGCCAAACTGTGCACACTCGAGATAATTCGAGCGGCGTTATATTTTATGCTACTATAATTTTTCACACTCGAATATAATCTAGAATTTTATTTTTTGGCCGGTTTTTTTTTTAAATCTGTGCGTTAAGGGGTTAAGCACCTTACTGCACGTTTTAAATAGGAGTATACACATCCTAACTGATCAGAATTGCTATTCTATTTCATTCCCGGATTTTTTCGGGTCGAAATCTAATATACTTCAACCTATAGACTTTCTCTATATTTCCTTTTAACCCAAAACCTTTTTCTTATTCCTCACTTTTCAACACATTTTTGTAGTCATAAGTAGAGTCCATAATTTAACGTATTACTTCTTATGGACGTGATCACACTATGTCCGTCAGATAAGATCAAATTCGGACGCAATGTATCTACGTCCATAAGAAGTAATACGTTTTTTTTCTATTGGAACTGATTTGGTCTGATCTAGTTTGATCTGATCGGTTGTAGTGTAGCCGCAGCCTAATCTATCTTCGATGTCACGTTAATCAAATGTTGTTACCTGCAGTGTATCAGATGAACGTTTCATTTTGAATTCTTTGTAAAAGAATTTTCGCTACATTTGTTTTTTTTCCATTTGCATCTCCATCTGGAACAATACAACATATGCAGTAAAAAAATCTGATTATGATATGTTACATCTAAAAATAATTAAAATTAGTCAATATGATATTTTTTAATATCATATCGTCAGATTTCGTGTCACTTTCATTTTCACTTCGACAATCGATAACGCGCGATAGGAATGACAAATGTCCATCCAAATATCAGCACTCTATCTACACTCTTACTGAAACAAGAAGGGTAAGAAGTATAGGAAAAACAGTCTCTTTTACTATATATTATTCATAATATTTGTCATAAAAAATGTTCCAACGTGTTTGATATGTAAAGAAACTTGGTTAATCTTTAATCCTTTAGTCACGCAGTATCACTATACTGGCTTCCGCCTGACCAACGTTCTTTTCCGAAACGCCACTATAATAGTCCTGTTCATTTCCATGCATTCAAAGCGACAAATGAGTATCGTATTCATATAAAACATTAACACTGCGCTATCAGCAACTATCCGTATGACGTATAAACGGTAGTCCCACGACCGATATTGTAACGTTTTCAGTTCACGTGTACCCCCACAGAAGGGAATAAGTAAGAGTTAACTTACCATTATAAAATATTAATTCGCAGAGATCGGTACACTGTGGGTCATCATCCAACAAACTTTGTAAGGTTTTGTAAAAGGATATCAAAATTTCAGATAAAACTTCTGAACATCTTACTGAAAAAACAACGAATAAGGATGAATATCAGAGATAACATACAAAATATATAGAAACACCGTATGCCTAGTTCATGCTGATTGTAAGAAGTGTTTTACATACCAATAGATAATTTTTTAAAAGTAAGAAGTACGTATTTTAGCAGTTACTTTTCGTCAGAATGTGTTTACTGTGAAAACAGCTGACTTGTTAAACGTCAGAGCTACACTTCTTTCTTCTTTATTATATATTATATAGTAGGCATTTAGATTTGAAATCTACGTGAACGCGTGTGTGGTAATATTCTATTTAAAGCATGCGTGGACATGAGTAATTAACGCTCTCTTCGTGAATTAAAGCTTCAAAATTCTTTGTAATATTTGGGAATACAAACAATTTAGTAGTTCTACATGAACAATGGTTAACAATTCTAAAAGTAATACTAACACATTTTCTCACAGAGAAAATGTGTTAGTATTACTTTTAGAATTGTTGACTGAACACATTTTCTCACAGAGAAAATGTGAGGTATAAAAATTATAAAGAGCGGTACAATTGTCTTAATACATACTTGCCTCTTTATGACGATGTTTTGAAATTTCAAACAATGTTTGAACAGGTGTTGCACCTTCTGCAACTACATACACATAATGTTCATTTACTTCAGGTCCTTTCTTATATATTTTGTATACGGTATTATGGTATTTTCTACCTTTTACACCCGCTCTATCTTTAATTGTCATTTCTAATGTCTGAAAAGTAATTTGCTAATCTACATGTTAAATATTTTTAAGTTGCACAAGGTTCCACAATCTATGGCATAATTACACTTTTCATTACTTTTAAGTGTTAATGTGCAAGAACCATAACAATATATACTACAAGTGAGTACAGCTACTAAAAATTGTTAGAAATTGCTTAATTCTATTAGTTCTTTAGAAGACCTGTATTGTATAAATATTTATCTAACCTCTACACTTTCCATCCAACCTGGAGAGACAGTTTTAAGATCTGGAGGAATATATGAAGATGAAGGTATCAATATAAAAAGCTTTTTTACTGGTATTGATACACCCTCCTTAGATTCAAATAGTTCAATTTTTTCACGAAGGCCTAAAATAAGTACTAAGGTATTAAATATTTGTTAAATTAACACAGGCTTGTATTAATTTAAATATATTCATATATACATAGAAAATTATGTATGATACATATATGATGCAAATAAGCGTTTAAAGAGAATGTAAAAGAAGCTTAAAATAAATAATTTATACCTTTATCACAGTTTCCAGTTACTGGAAGTACAATTTGCAAATATCCATAAAAATAACTGAGTGCCATTCCACTGCCATAATCTACTCCACCCATATTTCGTAGAGATTCTGAGATATTCAATTTACAGTCATTCTGTATAAAATATTTACTTTTTGAGTACACAGAAATTAAATCCTACATAATAGAATACATACAAAAACAAACCCTTATTACTTACAATACCAATTTCCTCCAAGAACAATGCACAGAATATGAAACAAATGATAAAAGGTATTGTGTTTTCTGTCTGCAGTCTGTATTGCTCTTTTCTGAAAAACTTAAAATACATAGATACGATACAATATCATTTTACAACATTTACTTATATTACAAAACATGTTAAGAATATTCAGAAGTACCTCTACTCTACTAATAGCTCATCCATTACACGAGCACAAATTACGGAAATACAGAACGGAAATTTTTTACTTACTGCTTCAGATATGCTACTTAACACAATGACTATTATAGACTTTTGATTAAATTCCATGGCAGCTCGAAGAACAGATATTATATTGCTGTTATACATTAGTTTCAAATAAACCAATTGCCTTAGTACTTTCCAAAGTCGTATGGTAATTATGTATACTAATTGTATACTAATTGTAAGTGTTAATAAATAATCTACATGCAAAATATAATTCATTAATAATATAAGACAGATGTACAAATACAATATATGTACTTCATTGCAACTTATTATTAATACAATTTAATTTGAAATCAGTATATTTAAATGTGTCACCTACACTTTCTTTATAATGAAACATTATTAAAATTGAAGAACATCAAAGTAATACTCTATACCGATTGCTTACATGTTTGTTTCAATGTAGTCCCAAGATTATCCATATTAAATATTTTACAGACAACTGAAATAAATGTACATATTTGATACTACTTGGTAGTTCTGTAAATAAACGAATGTTAAGAAAAATTGTAATTGATAAGGAATAACATAAATATGCTATGGAAATGTAAAAAAGAATACAGAATGTATAGCTATGTGTTTACTTAACTTATATAAAAAAATATAAAATGGAAGTGTACAGTGTACCATATGCGGTAAAATTTTTGAAAATCTCTGATAATTCAAATATAGTTGGTAATTTTTCTAAGTACTGTTATTCGAACCGATAAGTATAAGGCACCGTTTTCATTACGTTCCTACTTGCCACCTGTTACCCCTCAGTCCCACCACAACTCATCTTTGCCAGAAATGAGTTACCCCTATATGTTGAGACTAGAGTTCTAAATCCAGTAAGTTACGTCAGAAACGAAGAGAAATTCCCGGTAACTTATCGGTAATTTCTCCAAAGCCTTTTTTATGGAGAAATTATGAGATTTTGAATTTTTCAACAGAGCGAACGAGAGGTTTCGATTAGCTATAGAGAAACATCGTAGAGGGGAATTTCCGTTGTACGTTCTCCGTAACCAATCAAAACCTCCCATTCGCTTCGTCGCAGAATGAAATATCAGTTCGTTTGAAACAAATGGCATGGAATTTTCCGTGAAGTTGTACGTACGTGAATATTTTTAGCTGGAGGTAAATACGACCCTATAATCAATATTTTCTAATAGTAATTATTACTCTTTAGCTTGAGCTTTGAAATTGATTGAAAAAAAAAGTTATTTAAACGAAGAAACCTAAAGTATAAATAACAAAATTAACGTTTTCTTAAATTCTCAATGTTCCCGGTAACTTACGGCATGTTTCACAGTTACCTTCTCCAATTTAATGTTACCGAGAATTTTCGAACTCTAATTGAGACCCTCTGGCCGCGATCCAGTCCCCGAATTGGGCCTGGCCTCGGCCAATCCGAGAGCCGGATCCGGCCAGCGGTCGCGGTCCGGGCCGACGGACCGACAGTTACCCCGGATAAGCCGCAGTGATAAGACGCCGTAATCAGTTCAGAGAATGGCGAAGGACGTATTACGTGCTACGTCCGAATTCAAACCAACGTGGTGTGAAATATTTCTCAAGAACCAACGGTATTCTCATTCGTAACAAGGTTCAAGGGAGGCTCCGTAAATGGTGGGGGGGTGCATGCGCAGCTTCCGTGCCGACACGCGGGAAAATCGAAGTCAGGGCGACACAGTGATCACGGGCCGCGAGTGCCAAGGATTAAATATCGTTCAACGAAGTAAGAGGAAGCGGAAGTGGAAACAGAGGTGGAATGCAGCCAGAGCCAACTTCGGGGCGGCGGCAGACGGGGCCGAGGCCAGAAACCCCAGGTCTCCTTGGAGAGGGATCTCCTGGGGAAAATACCGCGCGAACAAGACGAAACGTCCCGTCGATGAGTTTTAACGTTTCCTTCCTCCGGCCTCCTTCCGTCGCAGGACGAAAGGTCCAAATCAGCACAGAGGCCGATTTTATGTTTCCTGGTTTATTTGAGGGACCGCGAGTCGACGGGACGATCTCTTGCTGACTCGCGAATGGCCGCACGGATTTTTTTTTGTTTTTTATGTATCAATGTAGACTTGGGGTAGGCTTCGGTTCGCGATCCTTTCTCGAGCGCCGGGAAGTCGGACGACCCACCGACTTTGGGGCCGCTTGTTCCGCGGAGTTTTTTCGGTTAATTAAAAAAAGACGCAGGAGAAGTGTTTCGCGAGGAGTCGGATCCAAGTCGAGGTGGAATTTTGATCTTCTTGCCGGTCGCATTAGAGCTGTCGCCTCTACGAAGAGGATGGCTTCAGGGATTGTAGCATTTTTCGGCCAAGCCTTTAACTACCCTGGTGCCGTAGTGCGAGCTGGGCTTGACCTTTTTCTCTTGTCCAAATTCTGAAGTATAAAAGTCGAGTAGGATTGATAGCTCGTTTTAGCGATGTATAAAGTAATCAGCTTGGGATGTTTTCAGCGTTTTTGACGGTAGGTGCCTCTTGCTGTGACCGCGTTCGTTGCTGGCCCTTGCCCTTCGATTCCTCAAGGAGCGAGTCGATCGGGTCGGCACCAGAAGACATGGTAAATTATAACTTTGTGAATTCCTTCAATTGCCATCCGCGTTCCGATTTCATGTATTCATTTCATTTTTTCTTTTTTATTCAACCGGCGATGGCAATCGATGGGACTTTAGAAATGCGAGAACTGAAATCGGAGGTCGGAGGCATCCCGAGATGCGCATCATAGGATTAGGCTCTTTGCCCCCGGGAAGAGTATGAGAGAACCGTGGAGCGACTGCGTTGGAACGAATGTGGTTATTCTTTTAGATATAGCTAGGGAGATGGGATAGTTGTCTGGAGTGAACGTCTAAATGTAAGCAGGCAGGGCTAGGGCTGAATCCCTTCCCGGGAGTTTGGGGGAGATCCTGGGCCTGAGGTACTTATCCATCGTTCGCCCTTCCGGAAGGGCGGAGGATGTCCGATCTGTAACATACCCGCGATTGTGACAATTTTCTTTCAGGAATGAAATTAATTAGACCGCGCCTGGGAATCCGGATAAATGTGCAATGCGCACTAACTGCGCATCCTCAGATCGTAGGTCGTCGTTTTGCTAGCTTTTAGATTTGCTCTTGCAAAGTGATTTTTTTTAATACGAAAAATCAGGGGTTTGCCAAGCGTCCGGGACGTAGGGGGCTCTGTCCGAAGAGAGTACTAGAGTCGAAGAGGCTATATGCTGAAGCAGCCCCTTAAGAAGAGGGCAACTACGATGGCCTTCCGTTCTTTCGAACGGACAGCCATCCATTTTTGGCCACGTTGTTCCTCCTATTTATTTCTACGTCATTTTGTCAGGATTGACGGAGAAGAGACAGCAAACGATCATTTCGATTATATTTTGTCGATTCTACATTCAAATCAATTTTTTCCTACTTAGTGATATGAAAAATACCAGTCCAGTCAATTGAACAAGATCCATATACCATTAATATTTTTGAGTTTTAGTAACGTATTCGCTATCTAATCTTAGACTTCCTCGATTTTTTTTAATGTTCTATTTTGCTCGTTCTTTTATGCCCCTTTCCAGGTTTAAGTGGATCGCACCAGGATCCATTTTTTTTCAAGTCATCATGAGTAATTCATCGCCGCAGATCTTGCTGGATTTGTTGGTAAGAGATGTTAAAAAATGTTAAACGATGTTTGTTATCGCAGAGATGAGTTGAGAACAGAGATGAGGAGGATCCCTGAATTGGGCTGCCATTGGAGGGGATATCAGGTGGTAAGTGCTTTAGCCGTCCACATCCTTCACAGGGGGGCAGCACAGGACGTGACGCGTGATCCTGCCCGTGAGCAATCTCTCAACTCATCTCTGGAAAAGAACATACATACTGGCTGTCAGGGTTGGTAACAGGGTTGGTAATTTTATGATTTTCGAGGTTTTTGACGTGTATTACGTAAATCAAGTAGTTTACCGTAGAAAACGTAGAAAACCAGGAGAAACGTATTAAATATGGCAGACAAGACAGACGTAGGGCACGCGGTATCCGCTAGGTTATAAACATCCATCTTGTCCATTTATTTCATCCCATAATTTACTTTTTGGTCTTCTACCTTTATACATTTTGATACAAATATTGGTTACGAATCTTACGACTTCAAGTAGCCGTTATAAACAAACGTTAAATGCACATATACACATACATTTCAAACTTCCAAGGCTGATTTCGATTGTGCGTGGATTTGTTGATGCGTAAAGCGCAACCCCCATAATAGCCAATGCGAATCTCTCTTAGAGGTAAATAAGTGGGCTCTCATTGGCTATTGACGATATTGCGCATACGCTTTGCACATTTAGTTTGGGGTAATACACTTCGTGCCTGCGTGAAAACTAGGGCGTATCATACGTTGTAATATACGTGTAGAAAACTACGTATATTATTTGACGTATTATACTTACCCAACCGTGCTGGCTGTGAATAAGGTAGACAGTGAATGTGTATGTACATGCATACAATATGTCAATTTTAGTATAAAGAAGGTTAAAAAGTATGTTTTACGTACAAGAGTGTCAAAAAGAAATAAGTTTGAGCAAACAGGAAATATGAAGCAGGTGACCTACACAATCAGGAGGCTGATTAATTTTCCAATGATACACCGTCCCTTTCCGACGCGCATGTTTCCTCCCCTGGTTTAAGATGGGACTTCGGGCTCTGTCCACACATTCTTAGGTCCATGATCTCATTTTTTCTTAGGAAACAAATTTCTAGTCATGTCTAAATTCATTGGTAAAGTTTGGTTTTTTTTTTTTAATTAAACATGTATTGGTACTGACATTTGTTATATAATACACTAAAGAATATAGATTAGAGGAATTATATTTGGTTCTACTGTGTTAAGAAAATATAACCATTTGCTATACTAAGAAAAGATGATTATACAAAACAATTAAAAATAGCTTTATTGAATGTATTTTGACAAACAGACTTCACATATTCTTATAAGGATACGTATGTTGATAGTACAATCATTATTGTGTTCAATTAAAAAATATATGAAATCTTAATTTACAGGACATATACATTAATTAAACATTTATCACATTTTTAATTTCTCTTCCTGAGCAAGGAGTTGATTTTTTATTTTCTGCAGAAGTTCTTTTTTCACAGAATCAGGTACTAATCCACGAGCTCTGCTTGTTACCATTGAGAGTAATGTGTCGTACGTGATGTCTTGTCCATTTTCTTTGATAAGTTCCTTACAAATAATTTTTACTTGATCTCTCCAGCCACATTCGACCAGACGACGTCGAAGCAATTCTTTCAGCCTGTAAAGGATTGAATATAATATAAAGATCTCGAATGAATATGATGTTACAATGAATTCACTGTTTGTAAATATTACTCACCCATCTCTATCTCCAACCATCACTAACCTCTGATGTGGAGTAACCTTCATGTATGCTGTATGTCGTGCTCAATTAAATCGTTATACTGCCTAGTTTTTTTATTTAAGATGTGATTACGATTTACGTTAGTTCAACATTTTACAGTAATAAGATAAAAACCTTACGTCTTGTGTCGTAGTTGTGAGGATTGGATTGCCAAGATTGCCAAGTTTATTTACGAGACACTAACTACGACTCCATCGTACTTTTAAATCCGGGATTTATCGGGTTTAGATTCAGTAAATCGCATGTCTCCGTCACATTAATAAATGCGTAGATTCGATCCTGATCAACTCGATTTCGATCGACACTTAATCCGTATCACGCCTGATCACGCCAAGAATTTTAGAAGAGTATTAGAAGTTGGCAGCACTACTGCCGGTTGAAGTGATAAGGGTTAAATTCGGATTTACTAGGTCCGAACATGATAAATCCCGGATTTTGAGTACGATGGAAACGTAGTCATTGTGGCCTTATGTGACCTTTCGTTCTATTCAACAGTATTCAATGACAATGTCTCCATTGTACGCGAAATCCGGGATTTATAAACCATAGGGTTTCATCGCATTACTGTTAACAACGTTTATCGCTTCATGAAAGTTACAGTATAGGTTTTGTCGTTACGGCGTCGCTACGGTTGGCTAAAGATAACGATAGTTGTCGTTACGAATTACAGAATACGGCTTGGTTCTTTTTATTACTGACGTGCACATCTTTGTTTAATATAATGAAACGACTTTGCTGAACATTTTGTGTGGTACAGTTGGTTACGATCGAATATATTCGATCCGCACCATCACCCGTCTCCATCACTTTAAATCTGATGTTTATTGAACTAATCCTAAAATTAAATTCGGCTTACTTGAGTTCGAGCCTAAGCGTCTCTATCGACACTTAAAATTTGGATTTACTGAGTCCGGACTCGATAGATTCCGGATTACGAGTACGATGGAGACGTAGTCAATCCTCTTTCTTTGATCTAGTCGAATTATTAGATCGAGTTCGTCAAAGAGTAGTATTGATATTTTAGGCTAGACCAATAAAAAAAATCTGACATTATATATTGACCAATCTAATATTATTTGATAACTATGATTCGATATTAAATTATTAGAAAAATGTATGTTCTGACATGATTATAGTTTATTTAAATTGTTCACTTTTAACTTGTGTTATTAGTCATTATTTTGATTGTTTTATGCACATGCTGTTTTCTGTAGACGTGGAAAGAAAAAGATTTTAATTTATTGTTTGCCGTTTGATAGTTTTGAAAAATCCATATTGGGAGGTCGAAATAAATTACATTACGATCTGAAACTGTTGAACGAAGCATTTAAACATGTCGAAAAGTAATACAAGCACAGTGACATTGTCCAAGGGAATCCTAGAAATGAAGGTATAGACATGATTACCATTTTCTTATTGAAACAATAAAGTGCTCATTTTTATTGTCAAAATATTGTATATTCAATTTTACAGTTTATGAAAAAAACAAAGGAGAAAGTAGAGAAGCAATTGTATCAAGAGGAAGGAGAAGAATATTTTGGAAGTCACCTCACTACCTGTATGAAACAAAAATCGTATGTTAACATTAAGTAACAATTTCTATACTTTTTAGAACTATTAATATTAGCCTATGGATAATTATTTAAAAATTATTTGTTTCAGCGGAAAATTCATTATTGAACCAAGCTATGTTTTTTGTGAAAATTTAATTGACGGCAGAGTAAGTTTTAATGGAATGAATCCTGAAATAGAAAGGCTCATGGAATTGGAGCAAGAAACGAATCAACCTAAGGCAGCGAAGGAAGAGTGCGATGTTAGCGATGAACAAATGGCGAAGTGTTTAATACTCTCTAAAGAAAATTCAGTTAAAGAAGATAAAACAAAACATAAAAATAAAAAAAGGTCACAAGAAGCATCCCATGAAGAACTTATTAAAAAGAAACCAAAGTTTTTGAAACCTATGGATTAGGGAATTAAACTTTCTAAGTATGTATTCGTTATTTTATGTATGTACATATGATTAAATGATTTTTTGTATTAACCAAGGAAGTTTTGAAATGTTCTTTTAAGTGATTCCACATATCCTTGTTGAATCCTTTTCCTTGAATTTTTGCAACCAATAAATGTGTTGTAATGCCCAACTCATTGTATAGACATTGCCGCTATAATTAAATATCAACACATATCACACTCATGTACATCGTTATCATTAATAATGGATACAGACATTTTCTATACAGAAAAATGTCGAAACAAAAATATTCAAAAATAAATATAATGATGTATATAATATAATTGCCTTTTACATTTTTTCACGTATTTTTAAAAAATGATTTAACTACACCATGTCATTGGTTTATCATTTTCCATTATTCTTTTCTGCCAGTCGCAAAATTTATTATTTCGGATTAATTTTTTCCTTAAATTTTAGTAATTCAATTTCGTTGGAAAACCTTTGGTTTTCAAATTTAGATAACATTGTCATATTTTGGAGACTTTTCTGCGATATTATAGTTCGATGGGTTTTGTACGAGTTTGAAGTGCGCGGGAGTAGAACGGTTTGTGATTGGTCACGATATTGCGATATCGATTCCGGGGCATATTTTCGGTGAGCTTGGTCAGTCAGTTCTAGTTCTGAATATTCGCTTGATGTAACTGAATATTCGTTTGATTATAATATACCAAAAATTATTCATTGCACATGGAGTATTAATTGATTCTTTTCCTGTTAGAGAATTTTTTAATAAAAGGATAAACATCTCTTTTACTTAGCGATTGATCATGAGAATTACGTTTAGTAGCGTGTCGCTGCAATGTAAACGCGACTTGAGCCGAGCATCATCCCACGCACCGCGCGTGGCTTGTGCAGGAAGTGGAGCTTCTTTCACATAAGTTACGCGTTTTCCTGAAGGAAAATGGCTTCCAGCTGTCATTTTGTTGGGAAATGTAATGTATAAAGCACTGGGAATTGAGCGAGAAGTGGTACGGGGGTGCAGTGAAGTAATCTGGTGCAATCATATAATGTGAAAATCGTCGAATTAAGTCCAAGATTCGGCGTACGCTCAACTCCCCGAATCTGTACAGTGCCATGAAAGCGTACTCCATTATACTGTTTATAGTCCTAATTTTCCATAGATCGAATAAGGGCTAAAGCTAATGTTAAACGCGCATTTCGTAAACGCTCATTCGTGCGGATAACTAACATTTACGAAAGCGTAACGATCGATAGCCCTTAATTAGCTCGAAAGAACCTTCGAGCTTATCTACTTCTGGCAAAATTTCCGAACGCATCAAAGGTAAGGTGAATTTACTCGGGTCGAAAATAAATTCATTACGTTTTTAATATCTGTCGCGCTATTTATTTATACATTGCGATCGTTAATAAACCATACTTGAACTTTTTAAATTTTGGTTCAATATATGAATATTACTGAATTCTTGGGAAATAATTACATTTGGCGGAAATAGGATCAAACTGAACTTATAATTTGGTGTACTCGGTTCAGCTTTTGTTTCATGCTAGGTAACATAGATGATCGTCAGAATAATACAGAAATATTATTGAACTTCTATTAAACAATTATATCTAGAATGGACACAGAGCACATCTGCTAAGATTATATATATATATCTGCTATCATATATATATATATATATATAGGCTGCATGAACTACAATATATATAAGCAACAGCATCATGTTTAATTGATATAAATACCTGTATTTAGGAATAATAATTTTCGCAGATGTCTTCAATTGCCTTAAATAGATATATGATTCACATTACGTGTTCAGGAAATACATTCATGAGAACAAAAAAGATTTTAGATCAAATGTATAATTATAAATTTAAACATTTCATTTGTGACTTATGAAATATGTGGCGACATTATTTTGTTCGTCATATACATATATATCTAACATCTATTGCATATGAAATAATGTAATTTAATATACCATACATGTAAATCTGTTAATTATTTTAGTTATAGATATGGCTATTTATTTAACACTAGAACTACCGAGGCCAATAAAAATGACTGGTTTCAGATGACTCATCCTATACAAAAAACATTTACTGGTAGTTCTAGTGTTAATACAAATTTAAATTAAATGAAATTTAGTTTTATTCTGTAAGATTATTATATTTGTTTGTATTTTATATGAGGAAATACATATGTTTTTTGTTTTTAAGAAGCAGTATGGGTTCGAGCCAGCAATTCTCCTTACGATGGAACAATTATCTAAAACACATAACGTGTGCTTTCGACACGTTACGCACGGACGAAGATTTGGTAGATGTTACTTTGAGTTGTGAAGGAAAACGAATACGAGCACACAAAATGCTTTTATCAGCATGCAGTACATATTTCAGGGATTTATTCAAGGTGATTGTACTTTAAATCTGTATAATATGAATTATTGGTTTGATTGAAACATTTTATACTATTCTTTAATTGTTCTACTAGTTTTCAATGTACAAGATTAAGCATTTATCATTTAATCTCTTCAGTGCGCATTTAAGATCTAGTTTGCCGTTACCTAATTATTAAACATCCATTTATGAAATTAAAAAAAATTGTATGCAATTACAGGAGAATCCTTGCCAGCACCCTGTTATAATATTTCGCAATGTAAAGTTTGATGATTTGGCTGCGCTTGTTGACTTTATGTACCAGGGTGAAGTAAATGTTGTACAGGAGCAGCTTGCAAGTTTTTTAACAACAGCAGAACTCTTGGCAGTTCAGGGCCTCACTGATGGTACAGGAAAGGATAATGACAGTTTAGCTGAGGTTTGTATTAAAAATAATAGAACATTTTGCCTTCTTCATGAGGGTGCTATATGTAATTTGTACTGTATGACGTAGTATGTACTTTTATTGATATAATCTTATTTTTTCATTTAATTCACACACCCAATGTACATACAATTTTATTTATTTAAGTTTTATAAAGAGAACCGATATGTATTTTCAAAATGTCAACTGAGGTATTTTAAAATGACATAAATACAGCTGAAATATTTCCATTTTCATTTTAAATATTATCTAAAGTTAAAAATGTGAAACACGTTGAGTTAAAAACATTGTGTCACATTTAATTTAATTACAATTATCACATTAAGTCTATATAAGCAATGTAAATTTCATAAAAAAACAACTTTAATAATATGTATAAAATCATTTTTTAGGATGACGTGGAGATTCCAAATGAACCTGAAGTGCAACTTCAAAATGCTATTAGTAAAGTAACATCAAATTCCTCGGGTCGAGGAAATAAATCACCTTCACCAACGTCGTATCACTCTGTTGAGTTACAATCAGAGACACCACCTACTAAACGACGAAAATGTCGTGAAACGACAGCAGAAAAAGCAAGTTCAGGAAATGCTTCATCTACAAAAGATTCAGAAAGTAAATCGACAGAGAATCAAGTGGCATCTGGGTCTGATCCTGTTGAAATAATTCCACTCATGCCAAACTTAAAGTTGGAAATGCCGGAATACTTGGAACAGGATGGCAGCAGTTGTAGTTACGAGGAACAAAGTACGGGGGAAAGTTCTATAAACAGAGTGGGAGTGGACGATACTCCTTCTGACACACCAGAACATGACCAAAAGCCAGATATCAGCCAAACATTTTATTCAACGAATCAATCAACCTCGGATGCATCTTTAGATGGCAAACATCATTCGACTGATCTTGGTAAGTAACAATTTCCTGTTGTAATAGAGCAAAGTTTAAATTTTATATTTTGTAAGTTATTGAGCATAGTAATTATTATATTTATTGAACAAAATTTTTTAAATTGTTTTTAAATTGTAAAAAAAATATAACCAACTGAAGAAAAAGCAGTGACATACTGCATTCTTATTATTAATTGATATTGGGACTTTAGTTCAGACAATTATCTGTATAAGCGATTCTCGATATAATCTGTACTAGTTTTTGCTTCACTTAACAAAGTTTTTTCTGTTCTATTCCAAATTTTTAATTCAAAATGGTCAGCCGCTTATCCAATTTCATATAATTGCAACTTTCCAATGTACTCTTATACAAATAAATTATTCTTAATGTTTTATTTCTTTTCTTTCTTACAAAACGTGTATAATTTAAATGCAGTGTTCACACTTGAATATTCATTTATTGAAAATCTTACATTTCAAATAACTTTCCTGAGATAAGTTCCAAAAGGTGACTTAATCGAAATGTACTCATAAAAAAATGAATACCTTCAGAAAATTAAAAACTTTTTTCCAAACTATTTCAATGAAGGATTATAAGTACATCATCCCTTCCCGTTCTGAATAAATTCAATCAGGACCTGTAGTCGAGTGAACGAACATACACGCGTACGGGCGCGGATACATACAACCTTGTTTAATATAGGCAGATACATTACAAGTAATTCGTAACATTGAGTACAGGAAATTGATAGAAATATATAATACTCCGTGTGTAGGAGTTTCTTTCACAAATATATATGTTATGGGTAACCTGTGCAATGCCTTGGCACTATATAGACTATCTGGTTATAATGCTTGGGTATTATTAAAATTCATCGTTGTGCACATTACCCGTAACATATGTATTAATTATTATACTTTAACGTTTGAAATTAATTAAAAGAAATTGTAACCTTGCCATTTAATTTCATGTGCATTATATTATATTGTAAGTATGATAAAATGTGTTTGTATGATTAGGCCATCTGTTATCCAAACCTAGTACATCAGGAGAGAGGTTATCACAGGATGCAGGGCAGGGTGAGTTCTTTTACGTTATTTTTTTTAGATTATATGTTATTACTTGCTGCTGTTGCCAAAACCTTTTACTGAATACTCTCATTAAAGCTACTCCTTCACCCTTTATGGAAATTTATTACCATTTAAATAAGTATAGTATAATGAATTTGGAAGAATTTAAAGCAAATTGCATTAATCAATAAATGAAGATGATTTCTTTATTGAAAGGAAGTACATGTTGTAAACAATGAATGTATTATTATAAAGACGTTTGGCAAATTGAATCTTTTTCAGCTATACTCTTGTTCTATACCTCCCAGATATCTCCTGCGTTAGTTGGCTTCTTATTCCCTTTATCGACGTTTTCGGAGTGTTACTACCCACACCTTCAAGGTCAATTGTCCAAGCGTGCGGTGGGTTCTTTAGCTCATTGTACACTTGGACAGAATTTTGTAGAAATCTTGGTCCCATAACAATAATGATAGTAGAACAGTCCATCTAAATTGAGTTGAAAGATACTTGATTGTTATGATTGATTTTTGTATATTCAAAAAATGTTTCCAACTATCAGGGATATTTTCTGGAAAAGACGTATCGACAAAGAATACAATAAACGCGAAAAACACCTGGAATGAACATAAAAATTCCATTAATCAAATCCCTTTATTGAGATTGAAATTATTGTTATATTCTCAAGATTAATTTTAAAAGAAATGTAATACACTGGGAATACCCTGCGTGTTTTGAAATTGAATAAATTTTAGATATAAATAAATCGAACATTTTAAAAATTATTTCAATATTTCTATTCAAGAGAGTATCAATATTTGTCAGGTGGAGGGATGGCACTGCAGCAGGCAATATCGTGCCCATATATTGTATGAATGCCAATTATAATGTAAAGTCTGATTCAAGATTTATACATTAAATTCTTAGAAAAAGAACACACGAATGCATCATTTTGTTTTCATAGTCAACTTCAGTATCAATTAACTCACAATTTAAACAGTACGGTTTTACTATATAATGTAAGTGACTTGTAAGTCATAAAATTGGGTAACGTTAACGTTTTAATAGTAACATAATTAAAGATTTAACAGAATGCACGTAAAAAGACTTTATATTTGTAATGACATGGTTTCATGCATTTTGGGCACAATTTTCATTGAACCTTATTCCATAAAAGATGTAAAACAGAAGCGCAAACAGACTATTTAATTAATGATATGAATTATATGAAATAAATCACGATTGACCATTATTTGTTAACATTGCTGGAATAAATCTCAGTTAATGGAAGAGGGTTCAGTGATATTACCGAACAATGGAAAGGAACTATATTGTTTCTTGACATTGTTGTACGAATATTTAAGGGGGTAGTTAACTAATAAATACTGTTGATTAAAACGCGCCTACAGTTCAGTAGCCTATACAGCTTTCGCATAACTTATATTTCCATAATCATAAAGTTAGTACAGGATTTGGGTAAGGTAGAGGCAATAATGAAATATAGGTCAAAGGATTTATTATTGCTTCGTGAAACGCAATTTTTGAGCAAACTTGTAACAATCTCATTTTGTGAACCTGACATAAGCAGTTAATATAAAAATCTTCCAAATCAAAGTCTTGTTGCAGTAACTGCTTCAAATATTAACCAGCCATTTAAATACAAATTAACTAAATCTTTAACATGGTCATTGAAACATTAAAGTAATGGAATATGTTTATTAATTAAATGTTCAAATTAGTACTTATAACTAAATAAGTACTATAGCAGAATGTCCTTATGTGCATTCAACGGGATTAATATTTTAACAAAACTAGTAAACTGTAAGTGATTTTGTCATTAATGATTGAGGTTCATAAGCATATACCACGTGTTGCACCTTGTTAGGTGTAATTGGGTTTTCAGGGAACAAAACAAGTATTTTATTTGATTTGTTTTAATGCTATAAATTGATTTTAACAAGTTATTTTGTAATCGTTTGAACGATTTTGTAAAAGTCTAAATGAAAATTAACACTTATTTAGACGGTATCATGTTAAAGGATAATATCAGGTTCACAAATTGTGTCTGTATCAAATCCGAGAATGCGAATACACGGTATAACAATAACACACCAAGGTGACACTTTCTTCTGTCAAAAATCATTCTCCTTTGACTGATCGTTAAGGATGCATTTTAATTTAAAGAGTGCATGGATTTTGAATGTAATCGTGTGGTACAGGTACTCGGGTGTAGGTTGAGCAGTAGATATTAGCAAGCATTGCCAAGTGCTATATGTGTGCCGACAATCATCATTGTTCTTTTAATATTTTAAACAAGGCTATCACTGTACTTTTAATATACACAACCTGCAAATGTACACTCTTAAAATGAATCGAGGAATTGCTATTGCAGTACACTGCAATTTTCTCACATCGTTAACATCTACTACCTCTGTATTATTCGGACGTGAAGTTTATTTACCCTCAAACTTAAACTTCTATTGATTTTCTAACGTTTCTACGCTTCATATTCTAATCGATTTTACGAAACTTTAGTCCACTTTGTCGATGATAATTAAATAATTAGAGTTCAAATTTCAGTTTTATATGATTATGATTTTAAGGATACATATCTTCCGGTTTGAGGTATACGATATCGAAACTAAATAATGTCTCACGATACGGACACGTAACGAAAAAGATTAAAACTTGAAATGTCGAAAATATTGTATTCTTTGTACTTCTTTCTTTACCTTAACACATGGTAAATTCAAAACGATCATTCATGCAAATCACAGAAGAAACTCATGCGTTGCAATTTCTGGCTTACAATGTAAAATTTTGTATCGATATTGTGACAACGTCCGTTTTTGAGGTACATTGTACGGTAAAACTTCTCAATTAGAAGAGATTCGTAGAAACTTCTTATATAACTAATGCAGTTGCTAACGATGGTGGTGGTGGTGACGATGGTATCGGTGGTGGTGTCTGTGGCATGTAAGCAATCATGGGTATATTTTCCGACCAACTATCACCATGGTTGCACGATTTGTACAATTTAAAGTCTAGTATTAATATCTATAGGTAAGTAAAGACTGAGACTTACAGCAGAAGCATGCACCCTTTCAGTAGTACTTTCTTTAAGATATCAAAAAGCTTGTCCATCAAATTCAGATACTAATATTTCACTGTGATATCGTAAAGTCGTGTATATCTCGTTCCGCTCGTTTTGCTGGAACAGAAAATCACCACTACTGTAATCTGAAACTGTGCACCAAATTTTGAATTTTATTTATTTATTTCCACAATTATTGTTACCGTATTTCTGATGGTACATATGTCGTCGAAATATTTAATGGAGTGAATCCAACATCCACCGAACTATAAACGTAATTAATTTTACATTGCAAGAGAAAAAGGCTAGGTACAAATTTCGACTGCAACATCTAATATCAGTTAGATAATGTCAACGTTGATTTCTGACTGAAAAATCAGTCTTATGTATTCACCCTTTTAATCAGTTTGGTAAAATATTACCAAATGACTCAATGTACAGATGACTGTTTTATGCGTATACTAAGCTGTTTAGGAGTATGGAATACTTGAAATGTGCAAGATTGGCCTGAACGATAGTACTTCAGACCGATCAGATAATTTTAATTAACAAACGAAGAATTGATTTTAACATTTCTTCTCATCCAGCTGTTCAAAAGTAGACCTTGTCGTTTCTACCAGTCTTGTACATCTTACTAGACATATCGATGCCGAATGACCCTGTATACATACGTGTATAAGTGTTGAGAGCGTATATTGTGCAATTCAATTATTCTGGTAGAAGTAATATATAATCTCGTTTTGTGCTCAGGCAAAATATTTCATGATCAAAAATCAACTGACACGTGTATCAACGTACATATTTCAACTACATATCTTAATGAATTTTGTTGTTTGTGGAGTAATAAGTAAACAATAATCTTAAATCACCTGTTATAAACGCGATATGACGAATGCACCGTTAAGATTTCTTATCTATAAATAATACACTCATTCGGGTAAAAGTAAACATTTCTGCATCAAATAGTACTATAAACAAATTTTTGTCAGAAGAAAATGTAAACATTAAATTGTGACTACTGGTTACTATTTTCTGAAAAATGTAGTTGACCTTGAATAAGTAATTTTGAATAGGTTCTCGAAGTACAAGAACTTAAACGAAATATATTAATTACAGAAATACATACTGTTAATGGGATTGAAAATATAATACTTTCAAGATTTACAGAAGTGTTACAGTTTGTATCTGATACACTTTTCTCCCTTTCTCCCCATTTATGACCAAATTAAAAACATTATAATCAACATTAAGCACAAAATAATGTTTTTTTATGAAAAGGAGTTTACGTAAATACGTATTATTACAAGTAATACGTAGTTTAATATTAGGTTTTACAGAAAGATACTGAAATTTAAATCTACATTCACGTTCGATTTGCAGACAGTAATATCTTCACCTTGTACACATACCTTATTTAAATTGAAATCAAGTAAGTTGGATAACACACAGTAGTAATATAAAAGTGCTTATACTCATTTTATAAAAGTGTACGTTACGTTTAAATGTTTTAATCAAATAATACTTTGTGGGGAAACTATTATCTATCACATCTTTTATTATATCTGTAATTATATTTAAGTTAAATATTTTTTAATGCCCCACATTTTTTATTTGTATCAAGTTGAAAGAGAGGTATTTCGACCAATTGAAAAACAAGAATTGACTAAAATAGGATGTTAAATATTGCGGGTGTTATAAATATTTCATTGGTTTTACAAAAACGGTTTATTAAAGTATTCAGATACTTACTAGATTTAAATTTTCTCTTATAACGTAGCATAAAATTCATTATCAAGAAGAGGAAATAAATCATCGAACAGTGTAACTCTAGAATATTATTAGAACTACATAAAAGCGAAAGTGCGATTTACAATTTTTAACAAAAATTCGTGTAATTTATGTGGGTGCGTCGTTGATA